ACGCTATGCTCCCTTGGGACATCAAGGGGCTTCTGATCAGAATTCCCCACCGTGCTAGACATCTGTTTTGTCAGTGGTAGGGGAAGCAGAATGTGGCACAACCCTTGAGTTTTTTTGGCGTGTGGTGGCACACAGGCCAGGAAACATTGTGCTAACATCAAGTTTTCTGGATGGAGCTCATACCATGGTTATCTTTTGAATACTATGTTTCCATCTTTGTATTTTGATCACTAGTTGGCATTTATTCTATAACCTAGTTACTGTTCTATTGATCCAGGTCTACTCAGATGATCTGACCTGCAGGTTTGCTTATCACGTATTAGTTTCAGACAGGTGGAATTTTTAAAACAAACATTATAGAATCATTATGGTCACCAATAAACACAAATGGATGGATCTACACAGGAAAGAAAACAGTGCTAGGAACATATAGTCTGGCTTTCTTTACTGTGCAGATGCAGCCAGACACGCATCTGCCTTCTGTCATCAGCCCTCTATTGATGTCACTATATGATAGCTTGTCTTGCTCAGCTGGCAAATCGTCTGCGCTCCAAGCCCTCGCTGGCACTGCTCCTGTAGCCCAACCACAGCTGTGCTTTGTGGGCATAATGGCCCTCCCTGGCCTGGGGACTGCTGGTGATATTATTTTGGACACAGCTATGTGACAGGTTGCATCATGCCTTTTTAAATTGTAACAAGCAATGTGGGGTCGTGGGCACAACAGACTTTAACACGTGCATATACTTCACTCAACAGGCATGGTGACAACATGCGTAGAATACATGATAATGGATGTTTGTACATAAACAGTTGTTAATACAGTAAAATGAACAGATTTGTGTAAGTGGTATTTTAAGAAGCTTTAGAATAAGACGATACTCATGAAGCAGGAATAGTTAAACACTAGCCTTGTGTGCCCTGCTTGTAAACATTGGTTCATGTGATTCCTACAGTATGTGACATTTGAACTCGGGGCAGTCACCAAACTCAGTTCAAAAACTTCCGTTATTGATTGATTTGTTTCAGAGGTATTGTCTCATTAAAAGGAAGTAGTATTTACACATCACAAGACAAAAAAAAGCTTGTTTCTTGACCCTGAGAAAGACCTTTGTTCTATATTTAAAGTTGAAGGACCAGTGTATAGCATACAGTGGCAGTAGCATCTAGCATTGAAGTTTCAGATTGCAACCATTTGAATACAGCTCGGCATTCCAAGCATTTAAAAAAAAAAACTATGGTGGCTGTACAAAACACGAAAGGGCCTATTTAGAGCCAGTGTTTGTCCGTTCTGAGCTACTGTAGAAACATGGCTGTTCAACATTGCGGCCTCTGTAGAAGAAGACCCGCTCATTGTGTCAATAAAAATGTCTTATTCTAAGGTAATTAAACTACAATTCCAATATTATGTGATTATACAATATTGAAAACATACCAATAAATATTATGTTCAGTTTCTGCCAGTAGATGCTCCTGAGTCGTACACACTGGACCTTTTTAAAGTAATGACACTGCTTTCAAGAAATCAAGTACAGATGTTTATACCTCGCTATATAGCCGCTTAACATGTTAGACCTTAAACTCTATCGTAGTTTCCCTAGTCCAGTGCCCCTCCATCACAAATGATCACGAGGAAGCAGTCCAGTCCAGTCACCCCTTGTCCGTTTTACTCAGCCTTGGTGTGCTGTGGGGAGAAGAACTCCATAGATTAATTTCTTGCTGCTCTTCTCCCTTTCTGCAGCTGAATTATTACCGCTCCTCATCAAGGCACTGTCAGAGAGCAACACGGCTCATTATCATGCAAATCCACCAGCAACCGAGAAACACACACACACACACACACACACACAGCCTTACAAGTGCACACAAACACACTCACAGATGGCATCATTCATTGTAGGTGGGGCTCTTACAGGAGAATGATTATGGTAATATATGTGTGGAAATCTGAATGTCATTGAAGACATATTCATAGTAGTAAGTCAGTAATGGAAAGAGAGAGAAGAGGATGGACATAGTGTGTGCTTTCCATCAAAATCAAACTTCACTGTCGTCAGTGGAGGTGACTGGCATGTTTGGGCTAAGACAGACGACGCCGTGATATCATCCACGGATCACATGTCCTTTCAGCATGTGGCTAACATTGTCACCTTTTGTTTCGACTCTTTCCTGCTTGGCAGCAGAGCCTCTCTGTGATTGGATGAAGGGATTGAAAGGATCCTCCAATTGGATTGTGTTGACTCAAAGTGTATGTACATGAGGCAGGAGAACAGCACATATGTGGTTGTTGAAATCCTGTGTCTGGTCATATATTATACAGCCTATGTAAAAGACAGACTGTTAGATATTTAAAGGTTCGTAGTAGTTTATGTTTTTGATCATTATGGGCTTAGTTGAAATACACAAATATATTTTTAGCTTAATAAACTGCATTTATTTTCTTTCTTTTTTTTTTTTTACCAGGACCATAAAAGTACTATGGTTTGTTTCTATTTATTGGTCAGTAGTATGTTTTATACAGTTGCTCATAAATTACAATTTGCATTTGGGAATTTTTAACCTGCTATTCCATTTTCACAATAGCAGACGAGCTGCATGTGGAGAAGACTTGTCAAAAGATCAAAAGCAACATGATACATGTTTGACCCGGTCCGACCTTGTAATATATCCACCGTGTCCACGTCTTAGCAGAAAATACCAGAAAACGTCTCTCTCTCAAGGAAAGTGTGTGTGAGAAACACTGCGGGATCCGGTTTCGACCTGTCTTTAAAAAGAACAGAAACAAAAAAACGAAGCATTCGAATACTTACTTGGACGCCGATTACCATGACAATGGTCTAAGCTAACGTCTGGGTTGGCCTACAAAAATACGTCATCCCTGCAGCACTCTATACATCATGCTTAGTTTAAACACACACTGATAATGGAGCCAAGCTGGACTGACTTCTATTGATTCACTCTGTGGTCTCTTTTTGTGGTCTTAGAGAACAGCTGGAAGTATTACGGTTATTAGAGGTGTGAAATTCGAATTCTCACAAATATATGCCTGCAGTGTGTCATTTGACATATGTATGTGTTTGTTTGTTGATTGGGGGACTGGTGATGATGGGTGTTAGGTGGTGTGATGTAATGATATGAGAAGAAGCCAAGGGATTCTGGTTTCCTCATTATTTTTGTGGTTGCGACCTGGCGTAACACTGGCATCAGTTCATATTCTGGTATTCTGGTGGTAGAACTGGTGACTTCTCCAAGCACATTTAGATCTGTTTTGGCCACACATGCAGCCGCAATTGGAGACACAGTCTCTGTGGCTGCCTTAAACGTTATGGCACGCAGGGGCAGGGAGTCGGGAACCTCTAATAACGAGGTTAGTAATTGGACCAAACCAGGTTTGGGTTGGGGAGGTTTGTGGTTTTTGTCGGTGAGTTTGTCTTACACTTCTTTTTGAGAACCAGTTTTGACTTTAAAACTGAACAAGGTTTTTCACTTTTTCAAGAGCTGTTCAAGTTTAAAGGTTAGACTTGGGTTGGCCTAACTTTTGGATAAATGTTGAGGTTAAGTATGCACTGCTGATGGTTAAGGTGATGGTTTTGGGGCTGGGGGTGATTAGGTACTGTAAAATTTGTTTGACAGCAGTATAATATGATAAAGAATATTAATAATGCGTATCTTTGCTGCTATGTATCCTGACAGCTTTATGTCCCCTCTAATTGGCTCTTTCTATTTTTTTATTTTATGTTTCCATGACATTGATATCAGGCTAATTATTTTTCACTAAGGTCATAACCTCTTTTTTTAATGAGTGTAGCCAGTCTCTTGATGTTGCTATGAAACTCGACCTTTATGACATGGACCATAACAATGAATATATTTTCTGATATAGACTAATTAGCTGATGGAAAATGGCACATATAAACCCTCATAAAGTTCCAATTATACTTTGCCACATTACGCAGTACTTCAGGTTGTAAAGAAAACCATCAGCGGTTCATTTGCTAGAGAAGCTATTCTGTTATCATTAACATCTTCTGCCAAATTTAACCTGTCTGTCAGAGTATGTCATTTTGTTCTGGCCTGTAGTTAAAACCAGATGAATTATCAGAGTAAATTAATCATTAAGTACACGTAATTATATTTTCATTCAGATCATGGTCTGCCATGTTTAAGTGGTGTGTAAATAGGGTGTTGGTGTTGGCCATGTGCAACATTAAAGTACTTTATTTTACTCCCAAAGCGATTGAGTGATTTGTAATGGGGTAAAAATACACAAAACAAGAAGGCATCCCTACATACCTGTTCACTCCAAATATGTTAATCACCTGTAGTTTTTATGGAGGAAGGAATGAAAAGATCTCCATGCTGTGTTCCCACCAGTGTAATCACAGCCAAGCCAATCTTCCCCAAGCTGTTCTGCTTCGTGCCAACACTATTGGAAAAGCTGCATCCTTTTCCCTACCCTGTTAGTTCCCCACATTTTTCTCCTGCGTACAGACTTACATCTCTTACTGCCTCACCAGCAGATCCTATATCTGCCATTCCTGTTGCGACAGGTAATGAAGTGAACAGGGTGTCATCAACACACATCAAACTTGCTAACTTTGATATTTATTCCTCTGTGACGACAGTCTGTTGGAGTTGTTAAAAGTTGCACTAAAGCACCATTGTTTCTAACACTGTGCTCCATTACACCGATGACACATCTTACTGAATGTCTGTTGTTATTTTTATTATCGAATTAAAGTCAGACATGCTTTTAATGTTTTCTTTCCTTCTGTTTCTCATCCACTGGTATTTCGAGAAACCAACACTTAAGTGATAGGAGCTTTTAGTCTCCAGTGAGCTGTATGACTATTTTAAAAACCTGGCAAATTCTGACACTGTATATTGAGTTAAACCAGTATAAGCCAGTAAAATAATAGGTGAAAATTGGAATAAAAAGAAAATAGATTTGCACATGATACTAATCTCTTTTCCTCTCTCTATCTGCTCCTGTTTGTTTTCAGGGTCTAGATGAGGAGGCGATTGTTGACCACGGAAAGACCAGCTTCACCACTCACACAAACTATGAAAAGGAAGATTTGGAAAGTAAGTTTAAAGCCACCTGGACTGAAAGACTTTTCTTCTGACTATGTGCTATTTTTTAAGTAATTGAAAGCTAGGTTCCTAAGCCAGAATACAGTAAGTGGATTTTGTTGCCTTTTTCTATTTCTCTTCAGCTAATTGTTATACATTCGGTCATTTGCTGCTGATCAGGCTTAGTCTGAGAAACACTAGACACACAGAGTAAATATAATTTAATAAGATCAGATAGTGGACTGAGTTTAACATGAAGTGTCAATGCTGTTCACCACACTCCATATCCTCCATCCTCTATTCAATAATATCTCATTCTCTCATTTTGTGACTCCCCTGGAGCCCTCTGTTTTTTGTCCAGCTAAGTTGTCAGGTTTTTTTCCCCCTCCCCCCTCTTTCATCTCCTGTGTCTCTCTTCCTTTCTCTCCATCTGCTCATGTGTATGTCGCGTATGCCTTCCTCTGAGTGCTGCATCTTGGTTTCATTCCTCCTGGGTTCCCTCTCAAATCAAAGAGAGATGACTCATCTGTGAAAAATGAGTATTGGCAGAGAATGTAGGGCAAAAATAGGGCGTTTACATCTCAGAACAATGTTCCTGTGTGGCAGTAACAATAACGAGGGGAAGTGGATAAAACATTGGAGGGGAAACGGAGGGGTGAAAAAGTTAAATGTTGTACTCTGGTTTCTTTCATGTAGGTTATCTAGAGCACTTAGACAAAATGGAAAGTTCTTTGTCTTAAATGTTCCTGTTTCTGTCTTTTACCTCAAAATAAATGTCTGGGACTGTGATACTCTTCTTGTAGGTTTGTCTGTTTTACAATGTAGTCTGTATTTTTAATTAAATGTCTTTGACTTGTATATTTAATGTAATCTCTTGGATTTAGAATTCTATTGATATTATTGTCCTTCTGGGAAGAATCTGACTCAAAGCAGATGTCTGCCTCTGTATAAACCAACAAAGCGAGCACTGAGTGATGGCTGGGCAAAAAATATACAGGAAATTTGAAATTGTCAAAATTTGCTCATCAGATTTTGTGCGAATAGATTGAACCTCATGTTTTGTGTCATAAGAACATAATCAGAATAACACTTTCAAATAACATTAAATGTATTTTTCTCTTTAATACCTTAATACCTGGTTGCACAGAGGACAACTGGGCATGTCATAGGTAGGAAACTCACAGGTGTAGTAATGATAGCTGCCTTCCACTTAGAGGAGGTCCTGCGTGCATACAGGTTTTAATGTCACTGTTACTAGGACACTGAATGGAACTGAACCATCGTTATTGTTATTAAGTCTGCCTGTGCTTTTCTGGCTTATAATATGTCTGCTGTGCAACCAGTGTTAGTGGTATTCTAAGTCAGTTAGAATCATAATACTGAAGATGTAAATGAAATGTATTCTCGCTGTGCTATTGCTATATGCTGTTTTAACTGTATCAAAATACTATCCTGCTGTCTTGTTTTTTCAATTTTTATAGAAGAGGTGTCTGAACTGTAATTGCACTTTTTTTTTTCCAGGCCACAGAGCAGTGTATGTAGGCGTCCATGTTCCTCTTGGAAGGGAGAGCAAACGGAGGCATCGCCACCGAGGACACAGACACCACCGAAAGAAGAGAGAGAGAGACTTTGAGGAGGGGAAAGAAGATGGCAGGGAATCCCCCACATATGGTTGGAAACACTCCTAAATGTCTTAATGCCCCCATTTATTACCAAACCCCACACCACTGTTTTTCTTCTATTTCTCTCTCTAAATCCCTCCACCTTGCAGTCAATGTCTACTTTTGAGAGCCCTCAACTTTGTTTATTCATACACTCACAGGACTTGTCTCAGACAATAAACAGAAACCCCAATAAACAGAGCTACCTTAGACTTTGCATACCTTTCGATTTCTTTTTAATAGCAGATTGTTTCTGGCATGTGAATCTCACATTACTTAGAACTGATACAAAAATTCTTTGCAAATAGCCTAGTTATGTGCCATTTGCCATTCTCTGACACAATAGTTACGGACTTTGAATGCAATTACAAGGCCACAAATCATCATCAGTTAAAACACAAAAAGCTGAATCTACTCAGTAATAAATGAATGTCATTTTTTTAATGTTCAACCTTGGTTAGCAAAGCAGTTACAGAAAAGTTGAGGGGGGCATATGGTGTAAATTTAGAATCAGACCTTCCTTTAACAATGCACAGATTTCCAGGTTGGAGCACCACTCTGCTTAAGCCCTCAGTGTATCTCCACCTTTCATACAGTTCTGAATAAAACATTCTGCTCTAAAAGGCATTAAAGGCCACTGGGAACCAGCCTCTGACACTGATTGAAGGCTATGACATTTTAAGCGACGTGTGAGTGTGTTTGTGTGTGCAGTTGCTGCATCACCTCAACTGCAGGACTCATAAGCACCCAAACAATGCTATAAACTGTATGAAGTATTCATTAGACCTTTATGACATAACCAAGATGGAAAAACAGACCTGTTATCTTGTTAATATAGACTGAGTGCACAGAGCATCATGTTTTATAAATTGGTCCACACACCCTTCTAGGTACTAAATTGGGAAATAAGGTTATTGAAACTTTGTAAGTTCTGTTTTGTACTCTATTTCTACTAATTAATACATAGTTTTCTAACTGTGTATGGGCTTAGCTTGATTTCTACGGATGCAAAGAATGAATGGTTGAAATCTTAATTAATGAATAAAAAAACGTATTTATTTGTATTTTACTATGTAATTTTAAATATTGTCTTTAAGTTAGATGTAACTTTCTATCATAATGATTCTTGCTGTGTGCTCCAGAAATGCCAGAATCCTTCGAGGTATTTAGGGGTCAGTAACATGGGTCATTGACCCAGAAAAAAATGTTTGTCAATGGAGAGACCATCTTTATGCTCAGGAAGAAGTGTGGAATAACAGTAAGCACTGGCACCATCAATATACGAAGTGTATACACATGTACATAATTCATACCAGACAACCACATAGTGTACCCATCTGTTAATAGAAAATAACTCTCGCTTTTTTGCTTCCAGTCATTCCATTTCTGCCTCCCTGTGGCGTTCAGTCTTGTAATCTGCCATATCTATTTCCGTTTTCTCTCTGGTTCCAGATGTCCTGATATCTGCCCTCTAATTCAATCAGACATGAAAAGAAAATTGATGGAACACATTTAAGTTTTCATTATTCGCTCTTGCATGCATCTCAAGATTTCTCAGTGTCAAGCCTGCAGATGGATTCCTTCTTATGTGGCACACTGAAAGGCAGTAACAGTGATGTACTGGTCTTACTCTACTCTACCTAAAAAAATATTCTCCTCAGCTTCAGAAGGAATTAGTGCAGTTGTACCAGACACACAAACACACACGCTTGCTTGCTACAATAACCCAGAACAGACAAACCAAACACTGGCTCTAGATGGGGCCTTTTGAGTTTTTCACAAGTTCTGTGGGGGCACTGTAGTTTCTCCTATATGCTTTAAACGAGAGGGTGAGGCAAGGGGGTTGTTATCTACAACTACACTGCTAGATACCGCTAAATTATGCACACTGGTCCTTTAAAAGGTGCACTGTGGAGTTTTCTTCAAAGTACAAAAGTTGAACAATAATGATTTTTACATTCGGCCCCATTCAACCAAAACGCATTGTGTGTATCCTTGAGGTCTAACAAAACACATTTCCTTCCCCAGGATTTTTTTTAACATTTTAGAACCTGCATTTTTTTACACCCTTGTTTACTAGCTTGCAGTCTATTGCAGTATTGTGTCACCCGTGTGCACATGTATATGCAAACAAAGAAAACCACCCATAGCACTGTTAGAAATCAATAACTCTACGGGGTACCTTTTTAATAATGTGTAATGCCTCGAGACTTTTACTGTTGTTATCATTGTAACTTTGGCCTTTGCCCACTCTTTGTGCAGACACACCATCCCAGCGGGTCCAGTTCATCCTCGGTACAGAGGATGATGACCTCGAACACGTCCCCCATGACCTCTTCACTGAGCTGGACGAGCTCTCCTTCAGAGATGGCAGGTCCACTGAATGGAAGGAGACTGCCAGGTCAGGATATAGCTCAAGGGGCAACCAAAAAGTGAAAGGACTACAGAACTGCATAGATCTGTTGCCATTTTGCAAATATTTTAGTTTTCAGGATCTTTAATGCATCTATGTGATAGTTTTGTAACATAATCCTTAAAACAGAATCATTGGGAATCATCTGGAAATGTGCACATTGCCATAAAAATCATTGATACCAATAATAAGTCTATTTCCACAATTAGGTTATTTTTAATTATAATTTCGTTCCTTTCCCTGTTTTAAAGTACTTAGTAACTGTATTGGGATTTGGCTTGCATTTCACAAATGGTTCCCTCAATGATAAAACTTGTGTTCAGTAGAAGTGACAGATTTGGAGTATGACTCACTCAGTTCCAGTGCATCAGTTTCCACTCTGAAATGTAAGATTTGAGTTTGTCGAAGGAAAAATGTAGCTGGGGGATATGAGCAGGAACAACATATCACTGCACTATAATACAACTCTTATTCTTTTGTTAATTATAATTTGTGGATTAAATTAAACTGTTCTGTGTGTGTGTGTGTGTGTGTGCGCATTCTCTTGGTGTTTATCTACAGATGGCTGAAGTTTGAAGAAGATGTGGAAGACGGTGGGGAGAGGTGGAGTAAGCCCTATGTGGCTACGTTGTCACTACACAGTTTATTTGAACTGCGTAGCTGCATACTCAACGGCACAGTCATGCTGGATATGAGGGCCAACAGTATCGAGGAAATTGCGGGTACTTATGTAGTATTGTGGTGAAAAGTATAAGATAAAAAATGCGAAAATAATTCTACATTTTTCCAGTAATATAATTTTCAATGGTCCATACATAATCTTTTTTCACTTTGTTTACATTCCTGCTCTTGCCTTTGTATGACTCAGACATGCTGATAGACAGCATGGTGGCATCAGGCCAGCTGAAGGATGATTTGCGTGCCAAGGTGCGGGAAGCCATGCTGAAGAAACACCACCACCAGAATGAAAGAAAGCTCAGCAATCGCATCCCTCTGGTGCGCTCCATTGCTGACATAGGCAAGAAACATTCTGACCCACTCTTGCTTGAAAGAAACGGTGAGATCCAACGCACTCGCATTTCTTTTTCCTCCATATTTTCCACCACTGGGGAGCTGTTCCTAAAAATCCACTGTTCAAATCCCTCAATGCCAGCGTAGAAGGTGGATGGTAAAAGTGAGTAAAAATCTAGAGAATGATCCATATTGAAGCAGTCAATCCCCTTAGTGAAAGAGAAATCTGGGTGCTAATGACTGTGCTAACCTGTATGGCTGGCCTGGCTTGGGGTTTGTATTAATGATTGTTTTCACTCCATAGGTTGACATTCAGGAAATATTGCTTTACCTGCAACTGAAGTCAGCATTGTGTTGTTGTTTTTTTTGACTGGGCATGCCCACAGTGGTGTTAATGTATGGTGTGCATACAGATCTTGGGTGTCAGCCTGAGGTTTTAAGAATGAAAGAAATAATCACATTCTCCACTTCTGTGCTTGTGGTTCTTGGGCTTGCATTTTCATATCATTACTCCTCAAGCACAAATGTGAAAGATCAAAAGTATATTTATGATATTGATGGTTGCTGATGGTAATAGTTGGGAGTGTGAAAGATGTGTGCCATGTGCCAAATGAGTATGTACTGTGTAGGATTTATGACTGGTCTGTTGTGGTAGAGCACCTATGCTTACAGTGCACATCGTGCTAACTCATCCTTTCCTGCATGCAAGCCTCTCAGAGTCTTGCTTTATCTCAGTCATGTTGTGTGATTGGTTTGTTTTGTTATGATTGAGACTGAGTTGTTTGGCCCTTGCGGACCCACCTACATGCCACTGAATCATTCTTTGTGTCTTCTGCACACAACCATGCTTTTCGCTCACGTTTATGCAAGCACGAATCTCTCTAACGACACCTCTACCACGCTCTTGCTGCCCACCCCTTCTGGCTGCATCTCCTCCAGATACCATCTCTGTGATGTACTCCTACTTCATATGGTTTTCCTCTCTGCTCCATCCCTTATTCCTTTTCCTCCTCCGTCTCCTTTCCCTCCTTTTATCTCTCCCTTCTTCTCTCCCTTTTTTGCCTTTGTCTCCTCTGTTAGGAGAGGGCCTGTCCTCTTCGCGTCTCTCTCTCCACAAGCCAGGGGCAGCTTCCTCTGTGTCCAACCTCTCCCAGAGACGAGAGTCCAGAGTCTCCATCCTGCTCAACCATCTCCTGCCCTCTTCTTCCTCCAACAGTGGGCACTCCCCAGGCCCCTCATCCCTCACCATCCCTCAAAATACCCCCGCTTCCTTCTGGTGCTCCTCCCAAAGCCCGACACGCACCCATGGTGCAGGCCTTGGCCCTCAAGGCATCCCTGAGGTGGTAGTGTCACCTCCCGATGATGATGATCCGCTGAACTCTGCAGAAGAAGAGGCAGCATCACCACAGCTCAGCCGACGAGCATCCTCGGCATCCCAGGGCCTCGAGCTGCTGCCCTTAGAAGGCAAATATCTGTGTAGCCTGCCAGTGTGAGTCACGGCTTGAACAGAGAACACTAGCACTAGCATGAAAGCTCTGCTCCTTGTAAACTTCCAACCCTCCAACCCTGCGGCCATCTCATCAATAACCCACAGCAAAGCTCACTCGCTAAGATGCTTTTTCCACTGTATTTATCCACAAAGTTTTTGACACTACTCACTATCACTTCTCAGCCACATGATTCTTGCTTTTCTCTCTTCTCTGTTTCTATCTATTCCACTGACCCATTCTTTCCTACTAATATCTCTGGTTCTTGCTGCAATCAGCAATCTGCTGTACACTTCTTTTTGCCATTCCAATTCTTCTTCTCTGCCTCCTTACACATTTTCAAGTCGTTCCACAGTCTTTATGCCTTGCTTGGTCCTGTCCTCCTTTACACCTCCTTCATTGTGTTTGCATGGCCTGTTTTGGTCTGTCTTTCTCCCATTCTGCATCATGTGTCCTGTGATGTTTACACCATGTTTAGCAATCAATCTCACTGTTCTCAGTCGAGGAGTTTCATGTAAGACTTGTTAGAAGGGATGTCTGTGTTTTTTTTTACTTTTTGCCACTGATCACACTTAATCTTGGGTATCTGCTAGTACTATTATATGTACCATGGATGTCACTGATACTTAAATACCAAGTTGATACCAAGATTTTAAAAACCTTACGGTATTCTACTACTTCGTTAGGCTATTTTATAACCTACTTTGTTTCTTAGTTATTAATATATATAAAATGGGCTGTACTAGTATTAGTATATTAGGTATAGAAAACATTAAGGAACAGCTTGGTTGTAGGAGTTTTGTTTTCTTAATTCAATGCAGAGCTCTTCACCTGTATTATTGAGGAAAATACAAGTATTGATGATATTTGAGATATGAGATATTAAATCCGGATCAGGGGCAAAAATAACTTGATTGGGACACAACCATGGTACCATTCCTAATATGTACAAGACAGCTACATTTTACAGTACAAACTTAACCTCAGGGAGGCCTACATATAATCAGTAAAGTCATTCCAGACAGTTTTACATCTTCACACAGAAAAGGTAACCTCCATCACTGCTTTTCTACTATGGTTACCTGCTTAACTAAAAGCAGTGTCCTTTCCTATAATGTCAACAGAGAGCAGTGTCAATATGAACCTGTTGTGACAAGAAGCTATGGACAAGATTTGCAGAGCATTTATATATATATATATATATATATATATATATATATATATATATATATAATATATATATATGCATTATATATATATATATATATATATGCATTTATATATATATATATATTTTATATATATATATATATATATATATATATATATATATGCATTATATAGCATATAACACAACATGAACATACAGAAGATACACTTTAAGGTGCAACCTAAAGCTGCTCTGGTTTTACTTGTACACACTCTCTGTAAGTGTGATTATCATTAATTGAAAGTGCTTACTGCTGTTTATTTTACCTGGTGCTCTGCTCACACAACATTGCATTAGGAATATGTTCCTTCTGTCAAGCAGTGTGCATTTGGGCCTTTTTCATAGATTGCATTTTCAAAGCAAATTTTTTTGTAACAATGAAAATAGATTGGGCTTTTAATCACTAATACCAATAAATGTAATAATAAGAAGCCTTGGTCCCAATTTTGCAGATAGGCGCGGGATATCCCCAGCTGTTAAGTCCTTACATCTTTGTTATGGTGTATTACGTAGAAACTGACATAATATGACCTAAATCCTTTCAGCTATAGTGTATTTGTGTCTGTGGTTTTGACCGCGGCCCCATTTGAGTACATGCAGATATCAATGTCATGCAACTTGTGCTTTTCCCATTGCATCATTTGGCACCCATGCTCTTCCTTCTCATCAATTCCTAAGTATAAACATTCTTTTACCCAATAGAGTAAGGGCAACGTGTGCCAGCAGCATGGCTAAATATAAGCCTGAGACCGGGGTGGGTGGTTTGGTACTGTGTGTACTATCATATTGGCACCTACAGTGACTTTTTGTTCTTCCTAAACCAAGCCATGTCAGTTTATTATTAGACTGTGTGCGTATGAGTGTGTGCGTCTGTGTTTGTCTCACTCCGGGAATGGCTCCATTTCAAAGTATGGGTCATTAGAACCAGCATTCACTTGGTGGGAGCTGAATCTGAAAGGTTGCCTTGGTCTTATTATAGCTGACAAGCTTCTGTAATTGTACCCCCTTCCAGGAAAATATACAGTATTTCCCAAGAAACCATCGTCCTGACATCAGTGTGTGGGTTACTATTCAGAGGGGGGTTTCGAGCCTTCATCATTACAGTTTAATAACACTGCAGGTTGTCAAAACTGCACTGTTGTACAGTGTTTGCTTAAAATAGCTAACCAGCTAACCATTATTGAACAGAGAGATGGTGTTAGACATTAAAATGCCCTTAATGTGCCATTTAGAGAAATTTGTCTGGATGCCAGTAATAGTTTGGCTCAAACATTAAGAACAAAATAATTATAGCAAACAATGCACTAATATATATGTTGCAGTTTTCTTTTTAAATGTACTGTAATGGTATTGAGTTGACCGCAGGCTTTTATACATATACGTGCCATAGACCCATTGAGTATGAAGTCATGGCTGAAATACCTGTACAGAGGGCATGCAGGGAATCACTGGTACACACGCTCCGTGTTATTCTGAGCCCTGCTTAAAAGCTTTTCAAATCTTAAGCATCTCTCCTTGTAATTTAGTGTCAACTGGGCTGCCGTTGGTCAGTTTTATTAAAACTGTTTTATTTTGATTTATTTATTTTTTTTAAATGGTTGTAGCTAGACAAGGTAACCTAGTGTCATTACATGGTCCATGTATGTATTTGACTGCTTGTAATCTGTGTGAGTCTTTGTACAGTATAATGTAAATTGACAGAATTGTAGGTTTACCAGCATTAGATCAAGCTCAATACACATGTACATCCATAGAGAAAATAGAAATGAATACCTTTTTTTTTTTTTTTTTATCCGATAAGTCCTAGTGGTAACAGCCCCACGTAAATCAGAAAATATATGTGTTACTGTTTTGCATATGAGTGAGATAGCACTGTGACGCCACTGTTTAAAAGGCTGGTATGGGGGAGCATTCCAGGGCTTAGCCTTCCTGAATGAAGTGTGTTGGCGGACGCAACCTAAGCTAATCCCTCCCTTATTCCAAGAGGCTTTGTTTGGTATGTGAGCAATCATGCTCCTGTTCAGCAGTCACAGCTACCCAGCATCCACTGGGGTTACTCCAGGGTACAGTTCAAGGGTATGGGTCGCTGGTCACACCACATGCAAAAGATGATGATGATAGAAATGGCACATCATTTTGATTCGGGATTAATTGTAGATAAGAATGTAGCATATTGCTTGAGCCTTTATAGATGTATTTTGTTGGATGTAGCCTGATGGCGAAATGAGAAATATGTTGATGTAGAGGAGAAAAGAGAGAAACCCTGGTAAAAGAAGTGTTACTTCAGAATTTCAGAGGATAGTATGCATAATGCTATCCTTTGATTCAAATCCATTGCTCCCCTCATTTCATTTCCCACTCTCATGTCACCTCAAGTGCTAGCGTTTCCTGTATCTGGTATGGCTCAAATCAAATATGCAATGTTAAAGTGTGCAGCCAATTATGCACAAAAAAACTGGAGCTTCAACACTTGAAGGTGCTGAAGTCTGAGGAAGGTGAACTGTCAGGCATATCAAACACATTCACTCACCTTCAGCTCAGAGCTGACATGAATTCAAGCTACGCAGGACTGACTTAAGCACCAGAGTAATGAGCTCAACAGACAGGGAGCAACAAGCAACAGTACTTTGTGAAATATATCATCATCCCTGTGGAGAGACATCACACTGTTGAAGCTCAGTACTAAATCAACATATCTTCCAAGTAATGGTTGTAGTGGTAGAAATCATTTCATTTGTAGCCAAAAATGTAAAATATTAAACCGCAAACCCAACTGTTAAACATTTTAGCTATAGCTACTAGCTATAGCTAATGTATATTCTCGGCTTGATCGCCTGTCTGTTGTAATTTAGTCTTTGTAGATCTATGTGAGCAACAGTGTGACTTCAGGATTTTGTGTCAGGTTTGTTTGCCAAGAGCTCACCTCTGATAAAAAAAATTGTAAAACATCTGTGAAATTGTTCGATGCTGCCATAAAGTAGCGGTCTATCTTAGATGAAAATACCTTGAACATTCTTTTCCCAGTTCTTCAAAATTTGAATCTGACTAAAGAGAAACGGAAGACAAATGGCATTTAATAATGATGTGACAAATGGCATTTTATGGTAAAACCACACTGAACTTCTCGACCAGTCTTTGCTACCCAAGTACTTACATGGTGTCCATCACTGCTCCTCTCTCCTGCCCTTCCTCTCCCCCTGTCCCTCTCAGGGCCACTGGTGTCTCCGAACTCTGTACCAAACAATCTAGATGGCAGCAAAGCAGTGGAGAGGAGGCCTTCCAAAGTAGGGGTCAGTAGAGAAAGCAGCAGTGTCGACTTCAGCAAGGTAACCTAACCACAGTACTGAGCACAGAAACAGTCCATCATGGTGGAATGGCCCATGAGTTCATCAGTGTCTTTTCTCAGTTTCTGGAATTTCACAGACATTTCAGTGGTCTGTGTTGAAAACTGCCCGTATCAGAGCCACCATCACATACCCATCAGCCCATTTTGTCTGGGTTCAGTTAGAGGCACCTTCAGTCATTGCTCCACCTGTAAAGGACTAAGAATTATCACCAAAGTAACAGACTTACAGAGTTATGTAACTCTGTTTAGTTTTGAAAATTCCTCCCTCGCATGGCCTCCATCCATCCATTTTGTAGTTCCTCGTCCATTAAATAAAATGGCAAGCCGCCATAAGTAGTTATCATTATAAAATCATCCATTATGACTGCCAAAAACTAAGGTGCAGTGTTTATATGAGTCACAGGATACAAAAGAGGGATGAAGGCACAGTCTTTTCTACACAGTGATAAATAAACTTTCCATGTTCAGTGCTGTATATTTAGCATTGCACAATTGCTTCCCAGCAATAGACAATCTTTGCTCAGTACCTTGTAGTTGGTAATGCTACTAACTCGCCCTGTCTTTCATTATCATAGCATGTAAACGACGTGCTGCCATCTTTTACATATACTTTACTTCTTCATTTCTGTTTGCATGTGTGTCTTTGTAAACTAGTTCTCCTATTTCTGGAAACTATCTCCTTTCTCTCTCTTTTTGTTTCTTTTAGTATTTGTCTGTGTATCTGATTCTTCAATTTCATTGGTTCCATTGGTTTCAGGTGGACATGAATTTCATGAAAAAGATTCCTCCAGGTGCTGAGGCATCCAATGTACTCGTGGGAGAAGTGGACTTCCTGGAGAAGCCCATAATTGCCTTTGTACGACTGTCCCCTGCAGTCCTTATCACAGGCCTCACAGAGGTGCCTGTGCCCACAAGGTACAATAGTTTGAAATTGATATTATGATGTTAAATAACAGTTGCAAACTCTGATAAGTTATTATTCTCTGGCAGCAATTTAAAGCAAACTGACAAAGTCATTTGCAAAAGTCCTTTTCACATGAGACTAATACAACCTGGGGATTTACTCTGGTTGTGAGTCAGTGACCCGTGTCTATAATCTGTCAAGTAATAAGACTAATTCTGCAATCTTAGTCTTGTTACTTAGACATGGGCAAGTAGTTCTGTGAAGCTCTAATGCTCATTACACACCAAAAACTAAATAATGGCTTTGAAAAAAAGGATGGACAACTTTGGTTTTCTTTTATACAAATACAGATTTTAGCACATAGTGAGGCAATTTCTTTTAGAGCATGCTGTACACATTTCTGGGGTTTCACTCTATTCTACTAATGAATGATGGTGGGAACATGATGTTAACAATGTAGGTATCAAAATATATGCAAAAATGCTTTACAAAAGTTTTATCAGGGACATTTGTATTAGAAGGATACATACAATTCATTTTGGGGGAAACAAGGAATGTGGATTTTACTGTTTACAAGAACACACAGGGTACCTCTAACTAAATACAGCTGTGATTAGTATTGAGGTTAGCGTTATTCATGGTCTGTTTCACGAGTATCTGTCTTGTTCAAAGGTTTCTGTTCCTGCTTTTGGGTCCTCATGGCAAAGGGCCCCAGTACCATGAGATTGGCAGATCGATGGCTACACTAATGACAGATGAGGTGAGTGAAAGAGATCTTTGACATTTCCTAAAACACGATCAAAAAATTCAGTTAGGATATTTTGGATTTAAGATGCATGATGGGCTGGTTATTTTGGATTAGTACACCAACCTCTCTTTGATTATATAGTGAATGTTCAGTATGTTGCTGTTGCTGTGAACAATTGAACATCGCATTGCATTACATTTAATAACTTCTAATATCATTATGCAGATCTTCCACGATGTGGCATACAAGGCCAAAGACCGAACGGATCTCCTCTCGGGGATAGATGAGTTCCTTGATCAAGTGACTGTCCTGCCTCCTGGAGAATGGGACCCCACAATCCGGATTGAGCCCCCCAAGAATGTCCCATCTCAGGTTAGGGATTCTGTCAATGATTATTTAATGTGTACTTGGTGAATAATGCACACAAAGTTGTGTTTTTGTTCAACGTAATCTATATTGTGTGTATGAAAATCACTTAAATTTCCATGTGCAACAAACATACTAAAATTTGCAAGGAAGGAGAGTTTACATACTGTCTGGTCTCACAAACTGTGACTTCACTGTCACTTTTCTCTATGTGTATTTTTATATGTGCATCTTCATACCACTATAATCACACTGAGGGTGCCCCCTTATGGATTTAAAGCCTCATGACAGCAAAGTAATTGAAATGCATGCAAGTATATTATATTTAAATGTCCTTTGACCTTCAGATGAAGAGGAAGAGACCATCCCAGCCCAACGGCACAGCGTCTCCAGCTGGAGAGCTGGAAAAGGAGGAGGACCATCATGCAGGGCCTGAGCTGCAGAGGACCGGGAGGTGAGATAAGCTCCTTTCCTTGGCTCGCCATTGACTTTAAATGCTTATTGGACCTTACTTGTTCCAGAAATCTATATTAATGTCACTTGTGTTAGCAAATATGTTGACAAAGAAATATTTGACAATTAAAGTGCGTCCTAGTCGAATTAACAACATCATTAGCAAGTAGGCATGTTTAATACATCATGTTGATTATGTTGAGACAAGTGCCTCTTGTTAACAAGAGCTGCAGGGGAAAACTCATTTGCAAAAGGACCATTTATTATTTCTAGACCCTTTAGTTAGAGAGATTTATTTGTCATAATAATGAGAATTTGCTTTCTGCAAATACTCTAAAATGAAGATGAGATTATTTACATGAAACAATTTTTATGCGTTTCCTGACATATCACTACCAATTGACTAAAATTAAAAAATGAATGAAATGTTAAATTTAATATACTCAAACCTACTACGTATGTGTTTTAGTAGACACATCTCTATTGTACTCTGTGAACCTCAGAAGCTGACATTTATGGATAACTCATGCTGGGTCTCTAGAGCCCAGGCCACACAGTGAGGAGAATGTGTTTATTTGAAACCTCAGACAGACACACACACTCTGCACACATACACATCAGTTGGGAGGCACTGTATTATTTACAGATTCACTCTACTTTTCACCGTTACTATAAAAGGCTCATGCTATGAGGGAGCGACTGGGGGGCAGAGGAGTGTACCGAAGTGCAAGAAGCTAATGTAAAGAAAGCTATCAGAAACAGGGGCTGTATAGAAAAGACAGCAGGGGGTGTGGAGGTAAGAAATAGAGGTTATTCCAGAGGTGTGGGGAAAAAGAAAATGAAAAAAGGCCTCACAGCAGAGCAATTGGACAGGTGTCAGAGAAAAGAGACGAAATACATGGTGAGAAATAAAATCCCTCAAAGGCAGAAAGAGGCGGAGAGAAGAAGGCTTGGTGGGTAGTCAGACATCCTGTACAATGTGTGCAAGAAGACAAATTCTGTCATCTAGGTTTTGAGGTTGGATGTTATAAAGATACACATTTGTGAGCTCATGACAATGCCTCAGCATTAACACTGGCAATGTTCAAGCAAGAAACAAAAAAACATAAAAGCACTTATTACCAATTAACTGTTATTGATGGATAGATAACTGCTTCCTATTAAAGGAGTTTATCTGAGTCTAAATTAATTGTGTTCATTAGACTTTCCCATTTCCCTTATTTAACTCACTGATGTATCATTAATTACTTTAATACGTACTTTAATATTATATAACAGTCACTGTTATATAATATTATCGTGCACTACTACTAGTAAATGCAAACATTATGAACTACCTCTCTCCTCTCGCAGGATATTCGGAGGACTGGTCCTGGACGTCAAGCGGAAGTTACCGTTCTACTGGAGTGACATCAGGGACTCCTTCAGTCTGCAGTGTCTGGCCTCCGTTCTTTTTCTCTACTGCGCCTGCATGTCTCCTGTCATCACCTTTGGAGGTCTGCTTGGGGAGGCAACAAAAGGCAACATAGTGAGTCTGAAAGCTTGGCACTTAAACGTCAGTACTTGTGCTTTTTGCATGAATCCAGTGGGAATCTTAACACCCAACCCCTGGTTGTGTACCACGTTGTACCAAATGAGATTTACAGAACCTAGTACGATTTTGCCATCATACAGGAGTTTATCAATAATTTTCATGACTCCTGGCACTTGGATGTTTTCTTGGTATTGTGACTGACAAGAATCTGCTAGCAAATTAAAGCAAAGACGTCATCTGATGTAACATAGTGTGTATATATAATAAATATTTCAATACAGAGAGACAAGTGAATGAAGTAAAGGTAATAAAGCCTGAAGGATATGGGATTTTCAAGACCAATACCTAGAGGGGAACAATTCACAGATGACAGATATTGGTGGCCTTTTCTATGTGGATTGTGCCCTGATTTTGCACTGATATGACTATGCAGAGATATTCAGAAGGCTGCTTTCTTTAAGAATATTTAAGTTAAGTATTCATTAACATGTTAAATAATTCAACATGTACTGAACACAGGCAGAGGAAGGCAGAGAGAGACCGCAGCTGAAGGGATAAAAATGCAAACATGCAGGTGTGTCGCTATGCTATTAGATAAATGTGACCAGCTGATGAGAACAGCTGATATCACAATTGACTGCCCCAGATAATGACAGCAAGGAAATATGCTTGAGCATGCGCGAGAGAAAAGAAATTAACTACCGGCCTATATGCAAAAGAATATTCTTCCTGACTGAACTTTCACTAGTTTCCCTCAACCAATGTGTGCAACAACAATGCTTTCTTACACTGTGACATTTAACATTTACCCATGTTTATGTACAAATATTCAGTTCATGGTACAGTATAAGTTAAATGCAGATGTGATGATCTGCATACAGCCTATCCCAGTCATAACCATTGCTAGTGTTTCTCAAGGAAGAAACTTCACTATTTCATCCTGTTATTATAGCAGGTCAATTAGTGTGTCAAGAAAAGTCACCATCCCATTACATACTCATTTGTGTGGACGTCTTTCACTGTGAGGTCCTTTTTCACTATCCAAAATAAGATATGAATATTCAACCTCCCATGCTCTTTTTATTGCTTTCTCTCACCCTCTCTCTGTTTACATCTCCTTTTTACCCAGGACACTGTTGGCATAGGTACAGTCTGTCTGCTGGTGTGTGTGATGCGTCTGAGTAAACTCAGCAGGCCGGGGATAAACAGAAACATGACTTCGGACAAGTCAGCAGGGTGGAAAGAATGTCTGTTTAATCAAAACTCTCTGTGTTCTGGTTGGGGATCTCTTCTTCACCTCTGTTTTTCTCCTTCAGGCTTTCCCCCTCTATCCTCCTTTGTGTGGTTTCACCTCCTCCATCTGCCCTTCTTTGTCCCTCACGCCCTCCCTTTCCTCTGTGTCTACAGAGTGCCATAGAGTCTCTATTTGGGGCCTCACTGACAGGCGTGGCATACTCCCTCTTCGCAGGCCAGCCCCTCACTATTCTCGGCAGCACAGGCCCTGTTTTAGTGTTTGAGAAAATCCTCTTCAAATTCTGCAGGTAAGCTTAAGCAAGTACCGTTTTTGCTGTGATATGATGATATAGTCAAAATACTAATGGGACTAAATGGTCTGTATAGAACACAACATTTTGTTTTATGTGGATTCCAATAGCCTAATGAGCACTAATAACGTGCATGTGGATACCTGTATCCATTCTCCACATAACCTTTGTCAATCATTCTCAGTGACTACGGCCTCTCCTACCTGTCGCTGCGGACCAGCATTGGTCTGTGGACAGCCTTCCTGTGTCTGGTCCTGGTGGCCACAGATGCTAGCTCCCTGGTCTGCTATATCACCCGATTTACAGAGGAGGCCTTCGCTGCCCTCATCTGCATCATCTTCATCTACGAGGCTCTAGAGAAGCTCTTTCACCTGGGAGAACACTACCCTGTCAACATGCACAACAACTTGGACAATCTTACCCTGTATTCGTGAGTACAAAGATTTAGGTTACTTTTATGTTAAAGTGGACTAACTAACTAAAGTAATCATCTTGTCGATTTACAACCACTTCAGCTAATTAGTTACAAAAGCCAAGGTGAACCATCTCCAGAAACTGTGGTTTTGTGTGATTTCAGAACTGTTTCTGTATACAGTTTAATTATTTTATTATTATTTTAGTATTACTTTAAATCTATTAAATAATTCTTCAGAGACAAAATATTTTAATTAAAAAAATAATAATTTGAACAGATAATGATCACTGTATTCTGAGTTAGAGCTAACATGTTCCTTCTTTAGGGCACTCTTCAGGTTAGAATGTCAAGTATTACATAAAGTAGTGTATAATCAACATAAATAGTATCCCATTAAGTACACAAAGCTCTTGTTGCTGAAAACTGTAATTGTAGTTGCTTGAGCTGTTCAGTAAACATCTTTCCCAGAACTGAAATGAAAATTACCCCTTTGCAAAATAACATATTTAAAAACAACTGATGCCAACAGATTTCCTGCACCCCGTGGTTTTAATTAACTTTAAAATGGACCCAACTCGTTTCTGCCTAAGATAAGCATACATACTTTGCTTAGAATGTATTCTCTTGTCCCCAGGTGTCAATGCTCTCCGCCATTCAATGCCTCGGATAATCTTGTGCAGGACTGGAACCAGACAGGATACAGCCCAGACTCTATCCCTTGGAGCAGCCTCAATGTTTCAGTGAGAGCGGCACACAGTAATCTCCAGTGTGATATGTGGGAATCACACCCACACTTGCATGTGTAGGATGTGTTGAGCAAACACAAATCATTAGCCAGCTTTGTGCATACATTGTTGGCACTCACACAAACTAACTAAATTCATACAGATGCAACTATTTCTACCACAGCTATAACCATGACTGTGTTGCCAAAAACCTGCTCACCAATATTACTGTCAGTTCTGGAACAACATGTCAAAATTTGTATTACAATTATAGCCTAATACTATTTTCTCTCTAGATGTGTAAGAGTCTCCATGGGGAATTCCTGGGTCCTGCCTGCGGTCACCATGGGCCCTACATCCCAGATGTTCTCTTCTGGTCCATTATCCTCTTCTTCACCACCTTCTTCCTATCCGCCTTCCTTAAGCAGTTCAAGACGGAGAGATATTTTCCCACCAAGGTGAGATGTTTGCTAGATTTGATGTGCACTCTTGTTCTACTACTGTTAACACCACTTACCCAAAACCTTCAACCAGCATAAAGTAAAGTAATACTTTATATTACTACTTAAAATTAAAGTGAAATGTCAATAAATTCATTTATGAACAGGGTGTTTTTTCTTTGTCTTTGTGCACAATCTAGCTCAAAGCTTCTCACACTATGTAAATGTTTACGTTGCTTCAGTCATTAGTATGCAGATCTTCATGCATCCTCCCACACAGTACCAGCTGTCTGTTATCACTTGGTGTTCTGTGTAGGCAGGTGCTGGTGTTACCTGAATTGTTATGCTTTTACTGTTGACACAAATGTAATTATTACTGTGGTGGATCTGCAACAGTGACCTGAAGTAAAAGACTGGTTGCATTTGAGCAGCTTTTATTTAGTGTAAAGACAAAGGTGTGTGTCTGTGTCTGTGTCTGTGTCTGTGTGTCTGTGTCTCTGTCTGTCTATGTGTGTGTCTGTCTATGTGTGTCTGTGTAACAGACATGCACAGTCAGCTGCCTAAATAACTGAATATAATTGTTTTGCTTCCGTGTGTGCACGTTTTATGCTTTGTAGGTGCGATCCACTATCAGCGACTTTGCTGTGTTTATAACCATCATGATCATGGTGTTGGTGGACTATCTAATGGGGATCCCCTCTCCTAAACTAAATGTCCCTGACCGTTTTGAGGTAGGCATCTATTACACCGTGTCCTTTCTTTATACATACATGTTCAAATTATATGTTGACATGACACTGTAAGGTTATTCTTTTGTAAGAAGCGTCTAAATGTAGTACTCTAATAATTTAATATTTAATATTTAATATACTAAATGTAGCCCATCCCTGCCTTTTCCCTGCAGCCAACTTCAAAGAACCGAGGCTGGCTGATGGACCCGTTAGGAGAAAATCCCTGGTGGACGCTGCTGGTGGCGGCACTTCCTGCCCTGCTCTGCACCATCCTCATCTTTATGGACCAGCAGATCACTGCAGTCATCATCAACCGAAAGGAGCATAAGCTCAAGGTTCAGACCTGCATGTTGCAGTCTTATAGTATCTTTGATCCTTTTCTATTCTTGCCTGTGGTGTCTATCCCTTCTTTATTACCCAGCAGTGTGAACTGTAGCTGTCCAGCATCAAAGACTAATCAGGCAAAGATCACTAAATTCATAAATTCAAAATCATTCCAAACATATTCTTAAGTAATCTTTTGAATTTTTGCTGATGTTTAAACAAATGTAAGTTTTAAGAAAGTGGTTCTGCAGAATCTAAATGGGCTTTCTGGAAATTGGTTTTATCCTAAATGCTGTCACATAACTTTAACAGGATTTAAACTGTATTGTAGTTCTTTTTACAATTCAACCTGCTGTTGAGTTTGCCTGCAGCCCCAAAGATTTTATTCAGTAAAACATAACAGGCAAAAAGTTTTAAACTAAACTCTGTTTCTGTGTCACCAACCTCTGTTATTATTTATGTATTTATTGTTGCTCATTTGTTCCACCTCCATTTGGCTCTCTTTCAGTCCCAACACTCACTTCTTTGCTCCCTCTAGACTCATTCATCTCTCCCCAGTACTCTCTCTGCATTTCTGTCATCCTTTATTATGGTTGAGGCAAACCTATTCTCTTGTCTGTTCTTCTGCTGTGTTCATCTCACAGAAATGCTTCAACCATAATCTCTTTTAGTTTCTTATGTATTTTTTAACCTCAGGGTTCTACAGCGCTAGTATTTAAAAAATAAATGCAGTCCACCTTGAAAATTCCAAGTATGGATCAGCAAACTAAATAATCTAAAGATTACACTCCTGAATCTTTATTTCTTGCTACTGCTCAGCTTGCTCTCAAACTTACTTGCTGTCTCTTGTCTCCCTGTGTATGCTACAGAAAGGCTGTGGCTATCACCTGGACTTGCTGATAGTGGCAATTATGCTGGGTGTGTGCTCCATCATGGGCCTGCCCTGGTTCGTGGCTGCAACCGTACTCTCCATCTCCCACGTTAACAGCCTGAAGGTGGAGTCTGGCTGCTCCGCTCCGGGAGAGCAGCCCAAGTTCCTGGGCATCCGGGAGCAGCGGGTCACTGGATTCATGATCTTTGTCCTCATGGGTTGTTCTGTTTTCATGACATCAGCGCTCAAGGTAAGGGAAACGCTGGAATAATAAATGACATCCTCACTGGTCTCACATTTGAAATCACCTTAAATGAGAAGTTCATCTAAGTAGCCAACATATTTAACAGATAACTCACTCTGCACATGTTTTCCTTTTTGGGTATTCTTAATTTGACCTGGTTTACTAAGTTGACTCTTAAATACTGTTGTTATACTCTGTCACTTTAATTCTGCTCTTCACAGTTTATTCCTATGCCAGTCCTGTATGGCGTCTTTCTCTACATGGGTGTCTCCTCCCTCAAAGGCATTCAAGTAAGACTCTACTCTGCTGGTCTTTGAAGATAAATCTGCTCTTTTATTCAGAACAGAACTGCAGTCATGAGCTGTTATGCGAAGTAAAGATAAATTTGCCCCTTGTAGTTCCAAACCTTTGATCTTTAAATGTGTCTTCCCAGCCTTTTTTATGTGCATTTTCTTATCGCTCTCACGCCAAGCCTCTTCCCTCTCATTTTCTCTGTAGTTCTTTGACAGAATCAAGCTGTTCGGCATGCCTGCCAAGCACCAGCCTGATCTGATCTATCTGCGTTATGTGCCGCTGTGGAAGGTCCACATCTTCACCCTTGTGCAGCTCACCTGCTTGGTGCTGCTCTGGGTCATCAAGGCCTCTGCAGCAGCTGTTGTGTTTCCCATGATGGTAATGACCCGAAATGAAAAAAGACTGTCGCATATTTTGTCACTTCATATTTGCAGGATATGTTAAAGACAAAGATGCAGCCTCATCCATTCAAGATGACTCATAACACAGTAGAATGCGTTTGAGCTGTAATAGGATTAAATAAAAAAAGAATGTATTAATTGAATTTTTCACATATAACATAGAACAAAACAGCTCAGAAATGACATAAGTAAAATGAGTGTGTAAGAATAAGAAATTAAAGTAAGTATAATGTGCATTAAATCCTGTTCTACTATACTTTTTTATGTTAAATCTGTAATAATAGATTCCTTGTCAATGTTTCTCTAGGTTCTGGCACTGGTCTTCATCCGGAAGCTTCTAGACTTTTTCTTCACCAAGAGAGAGCTGAGCTGGCTGGATGACCTGATGCCAGAAAGCAAGAAAAAGAAAGAGGATGACAAGAAAAAGAAAGCACGCCAGAAGCTGGTAAAACATTTTTACAAGTAAAATAACAGACGCAAATCAAACTGTAATTACAACAGCTTGCTCATGTTAAGTGTTTCTATACTTCAAAAGAAAGAAGCGCTTTCCAAAGTTTCAAATTGGAGAAAATCACAAGTTACATAACCAAGCAAACAGTTTTTTATGTAATCTTCAAACTTACAATATAACAAAATTGCTCTGATTTGTTTTGAATGCATCTGTTTGCTACATCAGTAAATGTTCAAAAATACTGTAGTGCCTTTTGTACTTACAGTCCCACACTGAACAACACATCCACACACACATGCACACACATAATATAACACCGTAATATTACAAAAAGCATCAAAATCCAAATTTCTCTCTGTCTGAGTTAGAGTAAACAAAGATGCTAGAGCTTCACAAATCATATCATTCTCAGCCTGGTGACTTAGATATCAGGTCAGTGTGATAATGCTACAGTACACGTGGAAGGTCTGGGTGTATAAACAGTGGGTGTTAATCACATTCCTACTGGATCGTAAAAAAACAGATATGGAGATGGCCAGACTTGTAATAGATCTTTGTAATCTGGATACTATACAGGTAAAGTGGTCATTCGAGCATTTCTATGTAAAGGAGAAGGGACACTGTACCTTTGACTGAAATTTCTTTTTTAAAACAAAACCACAGGAAAATTTTAAGCTATGTGTGACCATAAAGAAATGTACAAATGATAAACCATAAAGATCCAGCCTTAAGAGTCAGCTATTAAAAATTATGTAAATAAGAACATATAAAAATGGCCCATACCAGTGTTTCACCAGTGTGATGCCTCACTGCAGTCACAGCTGTTTTGTAATATAGGTTTCCAACACTGTTTTGATTCAGGAAGCACAGTCCATACTGCACCACGAAGAGGAGATGGAACTGAAGGTCAGCTTTGAAGACTCAAACCTGCTCAACATCCCAGTGAAAACACTCTCAGGGAGGTGAGTGGCACACACTTTGTTGTCCACTTCCGAGATGAAGAGCAGCTTTTTATTACAAATGCATATTAGTGATACAGTAGTGTATCGCAATAAAAAATCTCATCTTTAGTTAATATGTATATTTTTTTATCATCTAACTCAAAATATATTTTTATGATGACTTAAATGCTTTTATGGACTACACCCAAAATAAATAGTTCCCAAAAGATTTGACTTCCTCCCTAATCTTTCAGGCTGATGTGATCCAGGAAACCAACCAGAAACTTTGAAAAGAACTATAAAAGAATGTAGTTATAGTTCATAGCTAGTAAATAATAAACTTTTCTTATTTTACTTTCTGATGCGTCATGTTGTCATGTACAACTTGGAATGGTGGAATTCTGACACTGGTAGTCAGCTGTGTGTTATTATGTCCATCTTGAACAGATCGTACAGAATAGGACTAGTGACCCACAGCCTCCCAATGGAAGACGAGGTAGCAGGGCTGTGTGTCTGATGTAAAACATCTGACCCACATGGCTGCGTTCTAACCCTGCTCACTGATACTGAGACAGTTAGCGCATGGCCCAAACTGTCAGTCCAAAACTATATAAAGAACCAAAAACACTGGCTTTAAAACACACTGCTTTGTGTGTTGTTGTGTTCTCTTTTTTTTATTTTAAGGGTAAATGGTCTGTGATAAAAATGTTTGTCTTGTTGAAATAATCTTATCCATGTCTAACTAACTAATGTGTACACAATCAACTCATGACGACTGCCTTTTGTCTCCAAAGCAAAAGGCCCACATTTCTTACTACATGTTAACATGGAACATACTGTCTGGTCAGCCATTTTGTGCTGTTAATTTGTTTTAATCTCTGATTTATATGCATGTTTGTGTCTGCTTGTTTCAACTGTCCTGCACTGAACCTGTCCTGCTGATTTGATGTCTACTTGCCTGTCTTCTCTTTGTGTTTCTGTTAATGTTTGTGTGTGTGTGTGTGTGTGTGTGTGTGTGTGTGTGGTGTGTGTGTGTGTGTGTGTGTGTGTGTGTGTGTGTGTGTGTGTGTGTGTGTGTGTGTGTGTGTGTGTTTGCATTTTCGCATGTAGTTCTGATTCTGACCCCTTGGTTGTAAATATCTCTGATGAAATGGACAAAACCGCAGCGTGGAAAGCAGTGAACTCGAGTGCAGAGTCATGTGCCCAACCTGTGAAGCGTAGCGAAAGGTAGCTATGCCCTCCCCTGGAGTTTTCCAGAGTCCCTGCTCCCAACTGCATTACTTCAATACGACCTTAAATGTTGACAATAAAAGATGGATTAATGTTAGTCTCAAACTAGTTTCAAGACTATTTTCATACTGTAGTTAAATAAACTGAAGTGTATTGCTGCCGCTAATGTAGGGAATTAGTTTAATATTTAAAGCAAATGTGAAGAAAATATAAAATAAATTATGAATTAATTTATCTGAGTAGTTGTCCATAGAAAATAAAAAACTTTGGAATCAGTCTAATTATGTATGAGCCAAGTTAAGGATTCATTCTTGTCTACTTTAGCACCTTAAGGTGTTAATTTGAGAACGTTGACAAGAAAATGTTATTTATGACACTAGTTTGTCTGTATAGGGAAAAAGAAATTAACATAAGTTGACAAATTTCATCTAGAATTGTCATAATTATGAGCTGCATATTTTAACACAGTGCACACATAAGCACTGTCATCAACAAGGTGTACTGTAGGTGGTAAAATCTTGTTCTAAGTTGAGCACTAGCACTCCTCTGCCTTACTGAACCTCCCATGCGCAGTTGCTCTCCACCCTCACCACCACCATCCATTACACAGGCTCTCACCTTGTCTCTCATCTTCTTCGTCTCTGTACAACAGCCAGGAGAAGGTGGCCTGCGTTAGAGTCGACGTCAGCCCAGAAACACCAGGAGGGGGTTCCACTTCCGAGACCTTCCTGTGATAAAGGGAGGCCCCCCTTAGCCTCCTGATACCTTCTCCCACTCAACACTTTCCCCCACTAAACAAGCACCATCTTAGTGGCAAAGGGGGCATAGAACTGGAGCAGCATAACCTGCCTGCAGCGTTCCCTTCTTCAGGGCAGCAGGCGAGCTCCCCCAGGGCTGTGAGCCCTACTCCACTCGAGTCTTGAAGTGTGCAGCACATGTACGAATGGCTGCAGTGATGCACTGTTGAGCGCACATTCTCCGACGAATGAAGGATTTCTGCTGTTACTGCCCACCGACGCTCACTGTTTAGGAACTCTCTCAATCTAGCAATTTGTCAACCAATAAAACCACAGATGCCAAAGGAACGGGCCTCACTGGTGGGGATCTTGGACAGTGTGAATTAATTTTACCTTTTAACCCCCTGTACATTTTAATTTCAATTTTACTGTTATTGTTTTAGCTGGTCACAGTACTGTATATTTTGGGTCCTTTTTTGTAGCTCATACGAACTGAGCTGTCATGCACTGTTTGTTTCCATGTATTTTAGGTCCGATTAAGACCTTCCACCTAACTACGCCGGCTTCAAAAACTGACTAAAGCCATGCAGGTACTGTCACTGCCAGTTGATCATAAGTCTGGCACAATAAACGACACAAACCAAAACAGAGGTACATTCAGATAATACTACTTCTACTTCTACTACTACTACTACTATTACTACTACACTATTGCTACATAAATCTTTGTACAATTTGCTCAAGAATCATCTCTGCTGTCTGCAGGGGAACACTCAGTATTGATATTGCTGCTCATAAGTTGGTCAGTTGTTTTCACTGTAAACCTCACTGTTCATATTGTATGTGATATAGAAATGTCATTATGTATGTATTTATGTAAACTGTTTTCTTTTCATTCATACCAATATAGAAAACCTGCTTCAGAGGCCATATGAAGTCTGTACTGTACAGAAAGCACTTTGCCAGTATAGTTTCTTACCTAAAATGGATTATAGAGTATTAATAAAAAGGTTACTTCTCCTCCCATCCTATCTATAGAGCTGTTGTTCAAATGTCAGTTAAACAACTCAGGAATCTTGAAGGATTTCTGACTGTGGGCACTTGATATTTTCTTGTCACAGAGCAGTGATAATTAACGGTCCACTATTCCTTTCATCACTGGTATCACAAGTATTTTAATAAATGCTGTAAATCATAAAATATAGTAAGGTGCAAAATAAAAAAGAGAATATTTGTGACGCCAGTTAGTTGCACCTGTTTTTATACAGTCTGTATTATTGTCGGTAATAGTGTGTGTGGTGTAAAAATAATTTGGTATGTTTAGCGTTGCAAATCATTTTATGCAAAATATTTCTACAGTAAATGTAAAAACTATTATATGAAGTTGTTTTTATTTTGTGCAGTCCTGTTTTAGCAATAAGTATCCCCATACTGTGCAATGTATGGACTCATGAACCTAGCTAATATTCAGGCAAAGAATAATTTGTGAAATTATTTTCTGTCTGTTTCATCGGCTCCGTCTGTGTGTAGCTGCAGTGACTATACGGACAAAAGCTTACGTGCCTTGTCGAAGCTCTTTATGTGCAAGTCTTGTACTGATAATGTAAGTGTTCAGAACAGATGTACAGGTACACACAAACACACACACACGGTGGCACACAAACGCCAAAGACAGACCCATCATTACTTTACAGGAGTGAACCAGTACACGGCTCATTTGCGGGGGCTTATGTCTGTCGTAGTGTTATTCCACGTCTGTGTGAAAGTCGTAGTCTGAGCCGCTGACTCAAAACGATGTTACTCAGTTTATCTTCCATTTGCAAATGTTACTCTGAATACTGTTCCTGTGTGTGGTCTACTGTCACAGCTCTAGTATTTGCTCACAACAAAAAATCTCTGTAATCTATATTAAGGTACTGTTTTTTTTAAATAAGTGAATGTCAAATTGTTGTACTGTCAACATCAAAAATGAAATATGACATCTATTTTCTAACAAAATCTTAAGTTTGAATTCAGCCACAAATATTTAACAAGTTCTTTCCATACACATATATTTGATATAAAAATGTGAGTTGTCTGATCAGTGGAATCATCACAATATAGTGAACATCTACGAACTAAGTACTTATAATTACGTAATAATATTGTTTATTTTGATGAAAAATACGCTATTTTCACATGACATCAGTTCCAATATAAATATAAATATATATGTGTGTTTTAGAGCTGGATAAACTTTGTCATCAAAGAGGTTGAGATTTTACCCTCCATCACTCCAACATCACTAAGTAAAAATGCATTTGTTCTGATGTACAGACACAACATCGGTGAAGCATATAGCATCCTGTTGTTAGTTTGACTGATGACTTCTCTGTCATTGCAGATTGGTGCAAAGCAATAAAGTGAATACATGGTGACTTTCTTCTGTCTTGGTGTGGTAATGTTCTCAGGTGGTGATAAAGTAACACTTAAAAAAAATTCTTTCGCCCTGGTTCTTAAACCACCTTCCACATCACAAATGAAATGTGGATTCCCATCACATTGAGATTTCTTTTTCCATCTTAAAGCCCCAGTCTTTAGTTATATGTTATATGTTTATAGTTACTCACAGTGTACTTGTGAATGTATTCTGTACAGTCAAACTTAAGCAGGACCAATTCATTAGCCAGCGGTGGAATGTCACTAAGTACATTTACTGAAGAACTCGACTTAAGTACAAATTTGAGATACTCGTGCCAAAACATGAAGATGTAAACGTACTGTACTACTGTCAAAAGTTATTTTTTATAGAAGTTACCTTCTTCAGCTTTAATGAAGGAGTAACAATAATCTAATAGACAGGCGCAAGGGATGTGGATCTGTGTCAGATGTTGGCCAATAGGTAAAAAGTCATTAAAATACAGATGCAATACAAATGCCACTTATCAACACTTGATTTACAAATGTATCTTTCAACTGTAAAATTCCCTACCCATCGTATAAACTCTTAAATATATATATTAGTATATATATACAATATATTCTTGAATTTCCCTCGGGATAAATAAAGTATCTATCTAGCTATCTAGCCCTGAAATCATCCATTCGTAACAGGCCTCGGGGTGTTTTTTTATATTTAAGACAAAAGGTGGCAGCAGAGATCTGTCTTACATACCACAGCTGAGTACTGCAGGAAGTGATGTGCAGAGCCTTTAAACATTACCTGACATGCTTTAAATTAGTGCACAGAATTAGTTTCGACTTTTCTTTGGGGGTGGTTCACACAATAAGGGGAATAATATCGGTCAGAGAGTCACTTCTTTAATTATTCCTACATGTAATTAAGCTTATATTGGTAACAGTATGCAGTCAGGTCCAGATACCTTGTAACAATTCCAAGAAGGACATTTAATTATGACACAAATTTCACTTGCATGGTTTAGTATGACTGTAATCATATCCACTTAATCAGTTTGATGCTCTTTATTGCTCATCACTGCTGAGCAGCATGTGGGCTTCAGCCCCGGCTTCCAGACCAGAGGTTGCTGGAGCTGGAGGTTAACTGATTCCATAAAGTAATCAATTTAACAAAATTCAATATTTGACTTTTTTTCCCCACACATCCATGTTGTGTACGCTTTTTCAAGAAGAAAAACATAGTATCAGGGTTACTTATCTGAAACCACATGACCACATTACCATGAATGAAGGTTTAATAAACATGAATATTATTATTGGTACACAACAAGTAACAGCAGCAGCCATTTTCACACGTTTTTTTCCTACTTTAACTCTTAATTGTGGCAGTGCTTTATTTAACAGTAGGAAGTTTTAAAGCGTCTCTTGTCCGCTCGATGCCACGTGACTTAAATCTTCAACAGCATCCGTCCTGTTTGATATTCCATTAATGGTGCAAGATAAATTCATCTGCCTCGCTCAGTTCTTCTGGGCTGTGAGAGAATTAGTGGTACATTGTTTCACACTTCTGTCAGCCAACATCCCTCTGGGACACACTTCAACACAGTGCACAATGTGTTCAGACACATTCTTTGAACTCTCAGGCCAAAATCACTCATGTAAGTTATCACACACTACATGATTCAGGATTATACGCTGAATCTCGGCTTTTGGACTTAAGTGGCCCCTTTAAAGTGTCTTATTTGGATACAACCACCATTACAAAAAACAAACAGTAAAATTCAAACAAAACTATTTTAACAAATATTGCAGCTGCTTACAAAGAAAAGAAATAAGCTTCAGGTGGTTAAACACAATTAGTGTTATTTTTAACTTTTTAACTGCGCCTGCTGTCCCTATTTTGTAAAATTACAGAAACAATGCATTGGCAGACACTTATTGTTTCGACTATGTTTACAAGGCATCACTAGCAATCCTTGTATATAGCAGTTGAACTAAAGTTGGTGTTAGTTTTGTCTTTGTGCAAACAAAGAAACAAAAAAAACTCCACATGAACAGACCATCTTTCTCCTTCCAGCTTAAATCAGTCATTTGTGTTTTGGCTCAAAGTCTTTGATACGTAGTAGTAGACAAGTAGGAAACTATAACACTGCATTGCAACAGAAATATTTCCCTAAGCAGGTGGGATATTCGTCCACCTCTTAAAGAAAGAATGTGCTGCTGTGGAGGACTGTGGTTCGCCTCGGGGTTCAGTTAGCAGCGTTTGGCGGCCCCTCTGGGATGAGTGACATGAAGAAGGTGATGATGAACGACCATGTGGAGGAGAGGAAGCCCGTGTGGGGAGCGCTGTTTGGATCTTCTGCTCCTTCCTCTCCACTTTCCCCATCATCATCTGAGCCATCATCCATCGGCCCTTCCTATACAGGATAAAGTCAAATTATTAAGAACACACACCGCTACTGTGTGTGGGACAAATGATTGTGAAAGGAGATATCCACTATGTAAACTGCAGCTTGAGTTTTACGTAGTTTACGTATTTTAAAAGGAGTCAAAGTCCATTTTGTTCCCCAATAAAGTTACCCTGTAAGCTTAAATGTTATAATGTATTCATTAACATCTCGCCTTGTCACTGGAGCTGAAAATACCAATTATTTTCATTAGTGATTAAATAATCATTAAATGATTGTCGGACAGACAAAGATATTCAATTTACAATAATATAATCCTCACGTTGAGAAACTGGAACCGGCAAATGGTTCAAACAATTATGAAATTAGTTTCACTAATCTCTTCTTAGTATTACAACTATTCTGTAAAAATCCTGTAAATATCTGGAAACCGGTACTTCAGTGAAAAACTTGATTGCTACAGATAAAATCAGCCCATCGGCCCTGAGTAATGTTCTTGGTAAAAAGCACAGAAGGATGAGAGGCAGCTACCATTTCTTGTAAGTCGTGGTTTTGTAGTTCACCCTCCATATCGTCCTGATTGGCTCTGTCTCCAGGAAGTTGGAGCTCATTCTCCAGGTTGAAGGGAAACCAGCCGGCCTGATGCCTGCAGACAGAAACAATTAAGCGATATTAAAAACCTTTTACATCCTGCCAATAAAAATTATTATTATCAAGTTGAAATTATGACAAATTCACTCTAAAGTTCCCAAAACCCAAAGTAATCAAAGCATTTTTTCTTACCAACTTTACAAAACCCTAAATCCATTCTGAATCTATTTTAATTCACACACATACATTAATGACTTTAAATAAAGAGGTTAAGAAAAAATAAACTGCCAAACCAAATTTAATTTCATATTTTACAGTGTTGCAGTTAGACAAGAATCTCTCTATCATTATGGATGGATGGATGTACAACATTAACGAAAAGCCCAAACTGACAAATCAGTATACAGCAGCGTATCTCCACTCACAGGTAAAGCACTAGCATGGCCATCATCACCATGACAAACCGGCTGAAGGAGGAATAGAAGTAGACTACGCTGAGTAAGATCGCGGCACGTGAAAACGTGTACACCCAGTCCAGCCAATCCCGGTTCAGCTCGTCCTCGTTCAGGATCTCCCCTCCCTGGGCGTTCATCTGGACTTCCGGGTTGCCACGGCGATCCGCCTGAGGTCGCTGGCTCAGAGGATCTGGCTGGTTAGACTGAGTCGAGAGCTGGTCTGGCCTGAGGTGTTGAGAGGAGGCAGCCAGTAACTGACTGGAGGGTGAGAAAGTCACAGAGAGAAGATGGTAACACTGTTGGCTGCTTGATCAAATCTCTAGAAACACTGACCAGAAATGAAGAGATAGAAACATGTAGGGACTTACTAATGCATGTAGTATTGCCGGGCATACAGCTGCTGCCACCACATTAGAGTCATGGGGTTGTAATAAGCGGGCATCGTGTTTGTGGGAGGTGTTGGCTGCGGGGAGTGCGGAATCCAGCTGGAGATAGAGATACTTCATTACAATTCTACAGTTCCATTAGATTTGTTTAGTTACTAATCACTATTGCATCAACAAACAGCTACGGTAATTTTCCAGTCAAACAGGCCTAACTGCAATTTAACGTGGACCGCACTCGAAATATGTCCCGACCTTCATGTCCTTGTCGAAAGAGGCTGAGATGTATGTACACATATACATATATATATATAGATATATATAAATATATAGATATATATATATACACACACACACACACACACACACACTGGTCTATATTATTTATTTTTTTGTCCAGTGCAATTATTTATTTCTACAACATGCTACTCTGTAACCTGTGCAATATTCTATTGTAACTTAAATCACATCTGTATAAAAAAATACTGTGAATAGTGTACATACAACCCTAATTTTATTTTCTTATTTAATGTGTATTTCTTTTCTTTTTTTCTCCTATCTGTTATGTTATATCTGGATGCTTTAATTAATGAGCCTAAGGAAAGCTTTCCCGCGCCACACAGTGAATGCTATAATACATTTCCTCATCAATTTTCTCTCATTTATTAAATAAAGAATCCAGCTGTATATTTTATGATCTCCCATGGTGCACAAAACTTTCATTTGGGACTCTTATTTAATTCCCCTTTGCTCACATGCTGTACATAAGCGTTTTGCTGGATTTTCATGATATTTTAACACTTTCGCCCTGCATGGCTGGCAAGGGGGAAAAATCCTTTCCATAGGCTGATCTGGCATAAGTCACAAGTATATTTGATAAATTATCTATAGGTCTTTCACCGGTCTAAAAACTTACCTGTGCATAAATTGTTGATACATATGGTGGTCAGGGAAGGGTCCAGTTCGCTGTCTGAGTCCATCACTGCTCTCTCCTGTAGACGACTGGCTATGTTGACCAGTGGCAGGACTATTAGAGTTTTGAAGGGGCTATAACCAGAAAAGTTCTGAATATAAGTAATGGTTTATGGTCCATCTCAAAAGACAAGCAAGCATTTTTTTTAAATCCTCAGGGAGGTCTAGATTACAGCAGTGAGCTGGATGATGAAAGGAAATATGTTGCTGATGAAATGAATGGAAAGGTGTGAGGAGTGCGTGGTTGACCCACCGTGGGACCAGTCGAGTTCTCCTGAGGCTTGTTACTGTGGCTGCGGGGGGGCTTCGGGGAGCTAGGAGGAGTTCGTGAGGCGCACACCAGATGGAGCATATGGTACTCATCCTGCTGTAGAAGGCAATACAGCTCATTATCAAACAGAGTCCAAGTATTGCATGTTCAAAGGAAAAAGAAAAAATAAACATCTGAACTTTATGAGTCACTTGACTAATACAGAACACTGCAAAACATCTACTTCTTGGACATTTGCTTTAAGAACTGAAAGTCATAGTCACAATATCTGTGTAATATTGGCAATTGCTAAACTGATAAATAGATAACAACATGCCCAATGGATTTTCTCAATAAAATACAACCCTGAAAACCTGAGATCCCATTTAAAAGTACATTTCTTTGATAGTGAATATTGCTGTGGCCCTGAGGTGCAAAGCAAGCAGCAAATTGTCTAATCAATTCAAAGAACAAAACATAAAAGATCAAATCTTATCATTATGGCAGCAATACTTTATTCAATAATGTTTTCTTATTTGAAGCTGTGATGCCGCCCTTCACACTTAACGCAAGTGGATAATAGGTTTGCATCTATCTATCTAACAGTTAAATACAATGCCCACCTATAAGAGCCTGTCATTGTATGGACATAATTATGCCTGTTTTAATCCATCAGGTGTGTGTTCAAAACGTAATACATGTGGTTCATTACAATACTTTAAAGCAAGAATCAAAGTACAGTATGTAGATCTGAACATTACACCAAGGTAACTGAACACATCATTCCAAAACTATAGACCACTAGTGTGTTGCTATAACAGCGTCCACTCTTCTGGGAAGGCTTTCCACATGGTTTTGGAACCTGACTGCAGGGATTTTCTCACTCAGAAAGCATTGGTGAGGTCTGCCAGTGATGTTGGGGGATAAGGCCTGGCTCACAGTCCACGCTGTAGTTGTAAAAGTGTTGGACAGGGTTAAGGTCAGGGCTCTATGCAGGCCAGTCCAGTTACTCCTGACCAAACTGGAAAAAAACATTCCTCTATAGACCTCTCTTTGTGCATGGGGGCATTGTCATGTTCAAACAGGAAAGGGCCTTCCCCAAACTGCTTCAAAGATGAAAGTATGCTATTGTCTAAAATATCAAACTATGACGGAGTTGGTGTTGTGTATGCAGTTGGATAAAGCAGAGAATCAAGCACTCTGTGTGCTCCTTGTTAGCTTTAGAATTATTAAAAGGTGCTGTAAACATTATGAAAGACTTGGTTATCAAAAGGTTTTGGGATATGCGCAAATGTTGCAATGCCGACCTTTTCAAGAAGGTAAAAGAATAAAAGAGGAAGGCTGTGCAGAAAGACTGCAGTCTGAAAAAAAGTGGAAATGGAGGGAAATTTCACTGTAGGATGTACATTTTGTACAATTTGAGTATGTGCAGCTGCATTGAAACTGAACAACAGGATTGTTGGATATTGTGGAATATTCATTTTCAATTGCCATATAAACAGCTTGGTAAGAATATTGTCTTTTTCAGAATAAGGACCAAAAACAGAATATTTTGTGCATGTAAACGTAGTCACTGATATTCTGCTGCCTCCCCTTGAAGACCGCCTCTTTGTGGATCCTGATTAGATAAAGTGGGAACAGGATACCAGAAATTCTCTGTTTACTGCAGAAAGCAGGGACTGGGAGACCCTGGTTACTGACAGAACACCCTTATATCAGTGATAGCTGTCGTAAGGTAGAGCTATTTAACACTGATTTTAACAAAAAAAAAAAAAACCTTTACACAAGAACCACTCTGATAAATATGAAATCTGCAACAGAGAGAACATACCTTTCTCAGCACATCTTTTAAGGTAAAGTGATCCAAAAGCAGCTTCCCAGAATACACAAGCCTCTGGTCTTTGGAGCTCTAAAAATACAAAATTATAATGATATTGGGGTCACTGGAGATAATTTTATATCAGCAAAAATGAAAAGAATACAATTTGCCCTTCTTAAACATTCTAGTTAATACAACAGCAATACGGTAAACTCAGAAATGTAGATCATGACACCAAAAAGGCAGAGATTTTGTGTGAGTGAGTAATGAGGATGAGATCATAGTAACCTCAATCGGGATAAGTGGGTCTTAACAGTGGATTAAACTGGCAGTACAACAAGGTCAGAGTGTGTCCTCTTAAAGCCTACATTCACTGTACGACCATTCAGGAATTTAAATTGCCTATTTAAAATCCGGGCCAACTTGCAAGTGAGATCCTTTTATTTTGGGTTCAAGGTGCCTCATTGTTAAATATGCCACAGTTAATGTCCGCTAAATTACACTAACAAAAAGCGCAGGCCTTAACAGAGGTTACAATGCAGCTTTACAAGGGAGCAGTTTGCCCCTGTGTGTGTTTACAATGATTGCATCAGAACAACTCCAGAGCAGAGAGGAAAGGGGGGCAGATTAGAAGAACAATACAGGAGGAATCTAAACACCTTCCTTTCAATGTGACGTCAAATCTCGAGACACTGAGGCTCTTTCAGCCGCTTTGACTCTGAAAACACAACTTCTTTCACTTCAGAGGATAGATCACGGTTAAAAGCCACTTTTATGATAATTCAAGATGTTCAAACAGCAAAAGTTCAACCAGAAAACATTGACTGTGGCTGTATTCAGTCCTGGACTCAACAGTTAAAGTCTAAAATACCAGCCAAATCCATTTCTTCCACACTTATTCTGAGTGGAACTGTAAATCCGACATTTGACAGCACCAGTCAATAATGTCTTGTCCATCTTCTTTGACACAACTTGCTTCTTGACTTTAAGCTCTACAAACATTCATAGATACCATCACACACGGGGGCATTCTGGTGAGCTGAATATGCATACCAAATAACTGATGATGTTACACGTTCATGCCATCAGTCTCTCTCTCTCTCACCACATGCTTTCTGTCACACTATGGCCAAACTGCCAATTACATGCAAAAAAACCCCACAACACACAGGATGCAACCCTTCCTTGTGATTCAGCGGAGGTGATCAGCTGGCTTGGATGGCAGAGGAAAGAAGGATGGGCCAGAGAAGCACAGCTTTAGGCAATGGCAGCTTTAAGTGGACTGGAGCAACATACTCACTGGTTTGCTTGGGTACACGTCTGACAAATGCGCTTTGAGCTTCTCCACAGTCCAGTTCTGGTAACAGTTGATGGTCTGGTCATTGTACTTCTGGTTCGGTGCCCTGATGACAAGGGTAACAGGACTGTTCACAACACCTTGATCCATGACTCAAAACCATTTGTCTCCAGTGGAAAACAAAAGATCTGGACTGTCCTGTCAGGATACTGGCTACAGTCCTCCTACTCGTTTTCTAGTAGGTTTCAGGCACCATCGGAGCAAAACTTTAACGCTATGCCAAGCTTGATGTCGCTAATCTGCAGCTGCAATGTGTTTCCTGTAATATTTCACAGAACCTGAGGAGAGAAATAAAAACACGAGGTTAGCATGGCCCCATTAACATATTAGTTGGATATATAACGGGCGAGGGATTTGTGCTACAGTCACGTCAGCATTAAACTAGCACTGCATATAACGGTGCAATAATATTTGACAGAAACCGACACATGTATGGGGTATTCATGGCTCTGACACTAATTTAACAGGACTAACGTGTAATGACAACTACTGTTACATTGTTATAGCGTTGTAACGACTTCGTACGGATGGACAGAGACGTAAGGGGAGTTGTTGTGATAAAACAACACTTGCAAACAACTAACGCTAGCCCTGGTCGGGAGTATTTAACAACTGGCTAAGCTAACGTTAGCCTCAGTAGGTTTTCTGATAGCTACTAATGTCAGTCAAAAGTTGTTCGCTAGCATACTCAGCGAGCCAAATCAAAACGTTACAGTTTCACACAGATATTCGTCTCAAACATAATGGGGATATATGTTGTTTACCCACCTAGTTCACTCCCACTGACCGCATTACACAGCCTACTTGTAACTCCAATCTCCTGACTGAAGCTTGGGTGGCGGTCTTCTTCGGTGGATTTCACGCTGTTGTCGACATTCAATGTTTGTGGTTCATTACCGCCACCTGCTGGTAGAGGTGTCAGTTACAGCCTGTCAGTGGTCACAGCAGAGACATGGTAATAAAATCCAGTAGTCAATAATTTAAGACACATTTATACAAACAAATCATTGTTATTTGTAATTTAATTTATTGGATTATTAAAAAAATGATCTAATCTAAGAATTTTGGATTATTTCTAAATCAAACATTGAACATTATTGCACCTTATACTAAAGAAATGGACGCAGCTGCATAAATTGTCCCTTTAATCATTTCCAAACATTTCCAATGCAAATAAAAATAATTTATTAAACATTTACAGCTGGTCAAATAAAATAACAGAGGCTGTCTACTGTGATTATATCATATTATTATTCTGTGAAAATATTGTTGTTAGCGTGGTTGTACTATATAGTTTATACTAAAAATGTTGCTTTTGCTGAGTCTGTTGACAGATCAGAGGCTGTGCGTGGCAGTTCTGATCTCAAACGCATTACACAATGGAATAACATATGTAAATACCCCATTCCCCAATCAAGATCTATAGACCCCAAAGGGTTAATAAAGCACTGGTTATTTTAAAGAAGGTTTCATAACTTTTAAAATTGTCATATTTTAAAGACATAATCAAAAAAGTCATCCTTGACAATATGACTATAATCTAATTACACATAGTTTCTTATTCTTGTAATCTGATTATGTAATCTCAATTACATGTGAATAGTTACTAGCCAACACTACATACAGTCTATGGTCTAAATATTAGAAATAAGTAATTAAATGAATAAATAGAAATATCTATTTATATAAATTGGGTGGACAAAATAAAAGGCTATACAATCTAACAGAACCACAAACTAAAGCATTCAAAACAACCATGAAGTTGAATCAACACTTCTCTATAACAAACACTCAACATTACAACCTTCATGAAGGTGAGATTTATTGCTGGGCTGTTGTATTAGACTGTATTCATTTCAGTTTCTGTATCTGTAGCAAATGAACTGCCAGCTGAGACTATTTTCTATAGCCAGTTTTCTGAATCTATTCTTATGATTATGGCCTTAATTGACTGATTTTTACTGGGATGTGCAATGTGAGCTAAGGTACTGAAGTTATAGTGAATACAATTTTGACTGCCATCTTGTGGTGGCAAAGCTTAACACCCCTGCTTCATTATAGCTTCCTCTGAGGCTTTGTGTCCTTGGACTGTACTTTTCAGTTGGATTTTTTGTTGTTTTTTGTTGTTTTTTGTCCAGATGATGACTACTACTCATCACTCTAAGAATCTGTTTATTTATTATAAATAAATAAATCCACCCCACAATTGAAAGCAGCAAGCATTATACCTTTCAACAAGCAGGTAGCTTGTGAATTACAGAAACAATAACTTTTCACACATTCAAAACAAAGAAGATGCTGTAATTACACAGGGACTGCAGTTTATCCAGGATGGCTAATTTACAGAAATGTCTATTATCTGGGGTCATTGCTGGCATGTAGTGAACATGTCATGAACTGACCATGTAATGCAAACACAGATATATAATTTACTGTTGTAATGAAGTGATGAAGAAGAATTAACAACTGAATGTGACTAATGTGAATGTGACTGAACTGAATGCATCAGTCTTCATGTTTCAATAAAATGTATTGTACATATGAGTGTTATAACATAATATAATATTACATATATAATGATATGCACAAAACTGTGAATTCTGATTTAATTATCAGGTACACAAGCGCAGAAGCTGTCTTGTATGGACACATACAAAATTGTAAGCATAAAAACACACAGTCATTACCTGAAAACAAGTTTGATATATTACATTACACCTATACTATTAAAGCTAGAAAAAACAAAGTTCTGCATAAAAGATAACAGCCTAATATAACTGTTGGCCTATTATGACCCTCAGTGAAAAACTCAGAATGAATGGGTTCAATCTGCTCTAAAAATGGGTTAGCCCACTTCTGTTTGATTTATAAAACTCAGGAGACCTTGCAGGACTTTGTGTAGAACAAAAGTTCCAGGCCACCATTTCCTGAGAAGAGAGATTATTCATCCTGTTTTAATGTCGTTGCCATGCTGCCACTTTAGTGGACAAGAGAGTGTAATTCTTTGGACATCAATCACAAACCATGGCAAACTGCACCAGTAAATCCACAATGTGAATTTCCTTAGCTAGACTGAGGCTCTTCCTTATAATAAAGTACATTTTTCAAATGTCTTTTACATGTGCTTTCTCTTAAAGCTCGCTTTTAAAAATCTATTCTGCAAATCAACACTATGAATCATACCCTACTGGATAGTTGCTTTCTCATTCTTCATGAGTTACACAACCATATAAGGAGTTCCTGCAGTAAAAACACCTCTCATCAGGAGGGTGAAGCACTTTGCTTCTGACGTCCATCATGTTTGTTTCATTGCGTTAACACCTTTGACAAATTGCTCAGAGGAAGCAACATGTTGACAAGGTGATGTACAGTAGAGCAGCAGTTTGCATGTCTCCTTTAATAGTTTTGCATTGGAGATGACCAGTTTCTTTCATTTTCATCTCCCTGTGTGTTTATCTGTCTATTACCCTGCTTTACAAAGGATAGTTTTTCACACCCTGCCTCAATTTAGCAGTGGATGATATTGTAATATGGGACACTTTCGAGCTGCCGCCACTGTTTGTGAGATTTTAAAAGTGGAAGGGGTTTAAATGGGGTCAGCATTTACCTAAATTCTGGTGTAATTTTCCATCCCCATAGAAAATTACATTTTCAAATGTCTAATTAGTTGCATCACTTGATACAGTGGTGCTCTGTTAGGAGTTTTTTTGGGGGGTTGTTTTTGAAGCTTCTTTTGTGGGTTTTTTTTGCTGCTGTTGTCATTCTGTTTTTACTTGGCTTGTTCAGTGGGCTCAAGTAGCTACCACCCTGCCCTCATTGGATTTTAATAAAACCTGAACTGAACTTAGTTGGGTTTCATGCAAGCTACATGAGTAAAGATTTGTTTGTGAGCTTGCATTAGGAAGGGATGTGAAAGAACATTGCAGTTCAGTGATTTTCTGCGAATGTTCCTTATTTAATTTATTTAACTTTCCATTAGGTGAAGTGTTCCCCTGATAATGGTTGCACCTTATATAAATAGACCTTATTTATTTTGTCTATTTACTCTGAACAGTATCAATAGCAGTTTATTTTTGTGTGTTTGTCAACAACAATAAAGCATCCTTAACTGTCAATGAAGTTCTGACAATATAAAACACAGTTGTAATCTATATTTTTTACGTAAATATGTAATTTGAATAAGTATTTCTTATATTTCAATTATATGTATTATTAGAAACTGCCTCGTAACCACTTAAAGATGCCAAAGCAACCATCTGTTACTAACCTAGCAACACCATAGCAAACACCCTGCAATCATTTATATTTCTGCCATTACATTTACAGTATTTATTGATGAAGTACTTATCACATTTCTGTATTCATTAATTATTATTGAAGTATTTATTATTGTTAAATACCTATTCACCCATGTCATCTGAAAAAAATATATACAGTACACACTGACTTTATTAAACTTGAAACTCAACATGCATGTCTTCATGATATCAGAACACATTCATCAACAGTTTTAAACCTGTGAATGATTTGTACATGTGTATTAACAATTCATATGCAAATGCTTAATAATATATCAATATGATTACAGCTGTGTCATTCAATAATTTATTAATTGTTTATTCAGCAGTACAAGGAGCTATAACTGATGACAAATGTATTAACAAACGCTTATAATGTTGTTATATCTGCCTACAAACATATAAGTGTTATTAAAACGTCCAGTATCCTTTTGATTTTAGATGATGATAATCATCATTGTTAACATGCCAAGCAAGGTGATTTTCTTTTCAATTTTTATCTTCCTGTAAAATGTCAGCCTGCTCTCAGAACCCTCAGAGAGCTTCCTGTGGCCTATGCTGACACAGAAGGATGCCAATTTATGGAGGTTACCCCATATGTCATGCCACTCTTTTTTTAAAGGGGCTTCCTTCTGCAAGGAAGAAAATGCAATAAAAAAAATGAAATTCAGAAGAATGTAACAGGGGATATATCAAGGGAAAGTCACTTCTAAGCAAGAGGTTCCCTTTCAACATAAATCTGCACATTGACCATACTTGCAAATGGATGTTTTTCAGTGCTACACAAGCCGAATGGGCAAAGCTGAATGACAGCCCAGCGTAGGCAGTAGACAGAATATATATATACAGTAATTGTCTTTTTCTGCAGGTGAAGCACTAAATGGAAAGATCTTTTTTACATTTTGCATTATACACTTACAATTAGTCTAACTGCCCCTTAGTAAGGCCGTGTCAAGAAATAACACACTGGAACATTTCTTCTTCCTATATACATCTAATAAATGATGCAGTGATAAGTTAACACTACAGGTTTTACATTAATATAAAAAAAAGAAGAAAATTCTCAGAATTTGCATCATCTGCAAACCTGTAAAGGTTTAATCCAAAATTGCGTCTTTATCGCTTTCTAAACTTTTGCCCTTTGACAAATGAATAGTATAATAACAAAGCTGTTATTTATTCAGCAATGCTGTGAGTTTTCCTTTCTATTTAACTGAACAGACTCAGAGGCCCTTGTGCCCCCTCTGTTCATAATGAGTGCCTACATTAGTGACTCACTAGTGTGAAAAGGTCACTGCCTGGAGGAGGTTTTAATTAAGTAATAACAACTGTAACGCAGTTTGTTTTTGAGGTCAGGGTACAATTTGTATGATACATTGCATTCATACTACAGAACTCTAGATCTATATAATAAATTATTAATAAATAATCTAAATCAATTTTCTCAATAAAGACTGTTGTGAGTGGCACACATTAAAGGTCCAGTGTATAACATTTACGCGCGGGGTTCAGTTAGTTGCAATCTGCAACTTCTCCACTAGATGCCACTGAATC